GATGGATGCAGTTAATGGTTAATGTAATGAAAAAACCAGCACAATATACACGGTACAGTACTAAAATTTACCCGGATATTTGGTGTACTGATATTTATCTGGTTATTTGGTGTACTGTATAACGAATTAAAATAACCTACTTGTTCTATGTTCTACTTCGTAGATTTCAACGGCATTCGTTTTCAAATTACACTAGGAAAATTTATGACGTTTCTAGCATAGCTCCTAATTTTATATCAACCTAGCCCTGGTTGTATTCTACCTCTTGAAATCTTTCCTCTCTCTCATATCCATTTTTTTAGACATATATAGAATGAGTCTGATGATTTTTAGCTGGCACTGAAAGCAAGCTAATAAAAATTATGACGTAGGCCTGTGAGAAAATCCACTTTAATTTGTCTACTGTTGTAGTCACGGCGACTGAGTACGCGCGCCTGGGCATGGTTCTAGTTTCTAGTTTGCAGATCTGTTATTACATAGGGTAAATAAGGACATTGATTTAATATCACATGATACTGGTTTACTAATCTATGACAGTACGCGAGGCTCTGATCGATCGTTCACATTTAAAATGCAATCCATTCAAGTCATAGTACATCCAAATAGAACTCAGTCACTGATAGCAAACAATCTGAATGTCGTTATCATACCAGCTGTTCCTTAAATATATAAATAGAATAGTGATGTATGTTTCTAAACCGATTAACTTTCACCAGCGAAATGTGTTCTGAGCAAAATAGAATCACTATTGCAACAATGTATTGCTGACACTATTATTATTATTATTATTATTATTATTATTATTATTATTATTATTATTATTATTATTATTATTATTGCTATTAATATTATTGTTATTAATATTACTTTATTACTATTATCATTACTTTTATTATTAATAATATTATTATTACTATCATTATTATTATCCTTATGATTTATCATTATTAGCGTTTTGTTAATATTATTATTATTAATATTATTATTTATTCTTACTAGTACATACAGTAAGTTTATGATTCTAACTTAGCTCTGATTATTGTTATTATTATTATTATTATTATTATTATTATTATTAGTAATAATACCATGATTATGATTATGATTATTACTATTATTATTAATATTACTATCATTATTATTATCATTATGATTTATCATCATATAATCATCATCATTATTAGCCGTTTTATTATTATTATTATTATTATCATCATTATTTATTATTATTAATATTATTATTATTATTACTACTACTAGTATAGAGTAAGTTTATGATTCTACAAAAAAAAAGTTAAAAATAACGTATTATTGTTAGCTTGGATTAAGGCTTATTATAAGTCAATCGTGACGTCATCACCGTAACTCCTGATGTTATTTGCCTATTCCCCAGCGTCAAATAATTTTTGTATTATTGGAAGCTCGGCTTGATTTTTTTAGGTTCATGTGCAAAAAAAAAATCCTCATTTTTTTCGTCACTGCGAATACATCGCGCACTGCGATAAAAATTGAATTGTAATTGAAAATTACTTTCGTAAAACAAGCTTAATTAGAACCCGAAGAAAGTTCAATATTAAGTATGAACAATTAAGGAATTCATTGAATTAATGGACCCTCATAAACACAGCTGTAGAGTAGTATATATCACTATAGCAACCGATGGCTGTAACAACAGTTGGTTATAAAAAACTAAAATTTAAAGACAGCGATTGACTTATAAAGCAATTAGTAGAGCATGCATCGTACACTAAACGGAAAATTATTATACTTAGGTTAGATTTAATGCATTCAAAAATTTTTTCAAGCATTAAATCTAACCTTCGTACAATAATTTTCATATAGTGTACTATGCGGAGCTCTACTAATTGCTTATTATTATTATTATTATTATTATTATTATTATTATTATTATTATTATTATTATTATTATTATTATTATTATTATTATTATTATTGTTATTATTATTATTATTTATTATTTATTATTATTATTATTATTATTATTAATATTAATATTAATATTACTACTACTACTACTAGGGCCTACTACTACTACTACTACTATTACTACAGTTGTTTTATCACTACTATTAGTACTTTATAGAAGTGTTAGAGAGGTCACAGTCGGTGACAATCCGTGGAGCCCCGTGGCCTTTAGGCTTGCTATTAACATTTTGCTACCTCGTGTCAAAATGCGTTAACTCAGCTCACTAACGCGTAGATGTGTCAAGTACATCACGACTCAGTCATCAACTCGACAGTGTGACTTGTTAATGCTTCGCGTGCAATGCATTCCCATATCAAGTGCACGGAAATCACATATTATTTCACACGTCAGCATACGCTAGACACATTAGTTTAGGTCCTTGATTTTATACATGCCATTTTCCATGTTTTTCAAAATTATCCCAAAGAGTGTCGTTGAACATAACGATTTTGTTAATTCATTTTTTTTTTTCTAAAAATAGGCCTAATGTTACTAAAATTCCCTCAGCACATGACAATGTAGACACATAGCCGGTTCGGGAGAAAATAAATCGGGATTACCATTTGTATAATAATTAATTTTGGTTATTTGAATTTATTTACATTATTACGCTTTTAGGGGATGTTTTAAAAGATTATTATCAAGCATACAGGTATATTAAGTAATCCATTTGTAATTTATTGTTTATTGATTTAAATAAAATACAGAAATATATTGTGAGTTATATTACAGTCACTGAACATCAACACACTAATCATATTTGTTATTACTGTAACAAAGGGAAGAAAGGGTCAAAGGACAAGGTAAAGGTCACGGAAATGCGATTTCGTAAATGTTATTAATACAGCATTAATATTTTATTGATATATAGTTCGAAAGGCAGTGGCACAGTAATTCAAATCAGTATATTTACTTACTGTGCAACAGCTGTTTTTTTCTTGTTTTTTTTTTTATGGATGAATGTGTTTGATAGCTAAAAAAATTTTTGAATAATAACTCGG